TTGGAGCGGAGGCTGACAGGTTCCCCCGTGGCTCAGGGCCAGCCTGCCTCCCACCCACGTCACCACGCTGCTGGCTGAGGCGCGATCAGCCAGCCCGGAGAGAAGGAGCCTGTTTTTAATTCTAGTTTCTCTGCTTCGCAGCCCATGGTAGCTTGTGCCCCGTGCGCTCTGGCGTCCTTTTTGGCAGGTAGGTACGAGGCAAGCCCGCTTTGGACCACGTCTGTTTTGCTTCCTTTGTAAAGACCTCTCCTGCCTGGCTGACCGCTCTGCAGCACCTGAAGAGCTCAGCTCCCAGGTGTGGGCGGAGGGGCTGAGGGTCTCTCAGTTCCTCACGCCTTTTCAAGTCGAGGGGCCGTCATCCCCAGTGCTAGGCTTTACTGATGTCCTATTTCCGTGCTAAATGCAGCACTCCTTATTTGTGGGGCCTGACCCTGAACTGTCCCCTCCTTCCTAACCAAAAGGTCCCGGGGGTCTCTGTGTGCCAGCTCTGCACCAGCACTGGCCTGGCGTCGCGCATCTTCTCCGAGCTGAGACTACGGCCCAGGTGCCCTTGGCTCCAAAGCCAGTTCCCACCACCTTCCCTCTGGCCGCTGCTTCTGCAAAAGCCACCCTGAGCCCGTAAATGCCTCTCACACAAAGCCAAAGTCCAGAGTGCAGCAGGTGGCGCAGGGCTGGGCGAGCTGCTGCAGGGCGCAGGTGCTCCCCTCGCTCGGGGACCCGGCGGCTGTGTCAGTGCCAGGCTCCAGGCCGCTTCCCAGAGGTGGCTGCGCCCTGCTGGGGCCAGGAGCCGGCCTGGTCGTGCCTCCCCCGGCTTTGTCCCTGGGTGCCCGGGGCTGTGGGCTCCACGGGTGGGTGCTCCTGGCACTGCAGCTGCTGCCTTGGGTGGCTGGAGGAGACGTCCGAGCATTCCCGGGGTTCTGGGCTCCGAGGTGATGAGAACTGCAGGGGAACAGGTTTTGAGAGACGCGGGGGAGCTGCCAACTGCTCCCCTGCCTCCCTCCTTGCTTAGTTCACCATAAACTGAGCGCGGATCCGAACGTCATGTGGTTTAAATTTGTCAGACTCAGACTTTGGCCTCCTCGGCCCGTCCCTCGCTCAAAGGACCGGCGCTGGGCGATTCGGGGGAAACACCCTCGTGTCTGTGCCGGCTCCGCTTCACGCAGCTCGCAGCCGCTTGCCGGACCTCGAGCAGCCCAGACGGGTGCCCTGGGGGCTCCTCTGCCCCCCGGGGGTGTCCCAGCACCATGTCCCCACGCACGCCCTCGGCTCCGGGGATTGTTGCGCCAGGGTGGCTGCAAGAGCTTTGAACCGCCCGGCGGCTGGGAGCGTTCCCCAGCTGCTCCGCTCGCAAGGTGGCTGGAAAGAGGGCCATAAATCTCATCCGGACTGCTCCTCCCCGGGCTCCTCTGAGCCACTCTCTGCTGTTGATGCCGAGGCTGGCCAAAAAGCAGAATTTCCACCGCTGGGAAATGCTAACGTTTCGTGGGCGGCTTTTCTCCTGGACTGAGGCGAGAAGTGGAAAGTGCTGGAGTTCGGCCTGAGCGAGCTGTTCCAAGATGCTTGGTTCAGCTCTTGGTGAAATGTTGTGCGTTATCAGCCTGAAGCCCGACGGGGAATGTTGTGGCTGCCCTGGGCACGCGGAGCTGCTGAACTTGGTGCCTTCTTATCAGACGGCAACAAGCCAGTGGCTTCCAGCGGTCCTGGTCCCCGGGGCACTCTGCAGGGAGGTTTCCTGGCTCGTGCAGTTCGGTGCCAGGGTTGAGGGTCCCCAGCGCAGCAGATTGTCACCGTGCCAAGGGACAGGATGGGTCCTGAGCCCTCCTGGTGACTTCTCCTCCACTGCCCCCTTCATCACGCAGCCTGCCAGACACTGGCTCTTGCTGCCCCAGTGCTCGGAGCAGGGCAGAATGGCCAGAATTCGTATTTCTGCCATGAAATATTGCCAAGTAGCTCGTGCCTTGACAGTCCTTCTGCTCAATCCCCCTCAGTACGCCTAAGTCAGCCCCTGAGCTCGTCACCTGCAGCTCTCCTGCTGCTGGCCGGCTGCTGCCACGCACACTCACTCTTTGCAAGACTGGAAAGCTCGGGGACGCAGCCGTGGCTGCTTCTGCGCCTGTCCAGCATCTCGAACGCAGCCATTGTATTATTAATAGTAATAATTCATGCAAATATATTAGGGATTTGCAGCGTGCAAAATGCAGCTAGCCTCAGGAACGGAATCCATGAAACAAAACTTATTCGTGCTTGCCAAAGGGATGCTTAAAAATAAACCTGGCTGGAGATGAATGGCTGTTCTGTTGTAAATCCCCGGCTACGCTGGGGAGGGCAGGACTCAGATCAGTGATGAGACCCCAGCGGCACCCTTTTGCCTTGATTTTAGGAGCCCTGTGGAAGGTTTGGACGGGGCTCAGGTCGTTCTGGGAGCTCGGCGGCTTCTGCAGCCCTGGGCAGCCTGCGTGTCCCCAGCAGCGGGGCCGAGCCTCGGAGCTCGCTGGGGAGGAACACGGCAGCACCGGGTGCTGCAACGCGCCCTCCGTGCACAGCACGCCTCAAGGGGGAAAAACCACGTGCAGTTATTTCTCCTGCTGAAACTTGCTTAAAGGTCAGGAAAAAAAAAAAATGTGCAAGCAAACCTGTGCTTGGCTCAAGGTGGAATTCTAAGAGGAAACCAAGATGTGCAGCGAAGTGAGCCACCAGAAATACTCGGTGATAGGTACAAGGATTGTTTTGATTTGAAAGAACCCACTTTTCTCCTGGTTTCAGTCCCTATGACTTTCCTCCCCTCTCCCATGTGTTATTTTCTGGTGGTGTTTAAAGGTGAGAAGGAGGAGAATAGTTTCAGGAAAGAGACTGGAGTCCCGAGCTGGCTGAAACACCAGTCGTGGCTCGGGCTTTTTGAAGACAAATATTGGGAGTGCGGCAGAAGGAGCAGGAGAGCAGCAGGGCTGCAGGTGAGCACCGTCAGGCTCAGGACTTCAGCTGGGAGCCAGGAAGGCACCGGGGCGTGCTGAGTTGCTTAAACCCAAATGTTTTAAATCGCGTTATCGCCAGCGCTGCATGCTTAATGTCAGAGTCCTGCGAGGGCACATTCCTGAACGGGAGCCCAAAAGATAAGAGGCTGGTTTTCAAGAGTGTCTGTTTGCCACGTGAAATTTGCACGTTGGCATCTTCCTGCGGGAGGCTGCGGCGCGGACCCGGTGCAGCGTTGAAGGCGCTGCCGCCTCGCGCTGCCTCCGAGCCACGGCCCGGCGCTGCCAGAGATGGAAACGCGATTGCAGGGCCGCGGGTGGAAAAGGGGCCGATTGCAAAAGAGGAAAACAAAATTCAAATATTTATAAGTCATAATTGCATCTTGGGCTCGGGTCTGGATCCAGCAGAGGCTGAGTCACCCCCAGCAGCTCCCCGGGGCTGGGGCTGAGCCGCCCATGGGGCTGCTCCTGGGCTCCCCCAGGGGAGGTGGCGCTGGGCGGCTGGCGGGGGGCGCACAGCCCTGTCCCCTTGGGGTAGGGGCAGCGGGGACACGGCCAGGATACGTCCCACTGGGAGACAGCACAGGGGGCCCATGGTGTGATTTATGTCCTGACATGTGGCATGCGCAGTGCGCCCTCCATCAGGTGGAGGAATCCCTCCCTAACACCTCCCTGTGCCTGCCGGGCTGCACCGTGGCACCCCAAAAAGCCTCGGGGGAAACCCAGGCCACATTTCGGGACGGTCTCAAGGGCTGCTGCCCCAAAACCAGCTGGCATGGGGTGCGCTGGCCCTCGCCAGCTTTATCAGCAGCGGCTCCTCCCAGGTAGGGCCCCTCGGCGCTGCGCTGGCCGGCGGAGATGGATCAGTGCGTGCGTGACTCCTCACTCCGGGTGACTCATGGACTCGCTGGCCTTCGGCTGTGTCATAGGAAATATTTTTTTAATAACTCAAACGAACGAGGGGGGAGGATTGGAAACAGAAAGGAAAGCTCCGCCGCATGGTTCCCTGAACCTCCTTAACTTCCCAAATTGCTTCTGAAGTGCCAGGGCTCGCTCAGCCAGGGGGGGGCTTTCCAAAATCCCCGCTCGGGTGGCTGCGAGGGTCCCTGGGGTGGGCAGGGATGACGGACGAGGTGTGGATGTGGAAATACGGCCCGCGGATTGCCACGGCCTCATAAAACAGGGCAACGGGTACGCAGGGCTTACGGAGCGGGCTGCTTCGCCCCGCTGGTTTGCGGAGCACCAGGAGACGCCGTGGGTGGCTGATGGGGGCCTGTGGGGGGGCTGCCAGCTGCCCCACGGGTCGGGCAGCACGGGGGCAGCCATGGGGGTGACACGGCCAGACCCCACTCGTGTTTGTTATGGCATGGGACACGGCACGGCCAGCGCTGCGCCCACAGGGCCTCCCCGCTGAGGTTTTGCCTCCTCCTGGAGATCGGGGGCCGGTGGATCGCAGCCCTCCAGGGACAGCCCGGGGATGGAGGTGCCCGGTCTCGGTTCCAAGCACAAAATCTGCACCCAAACAGCCGTTTGCTCTGGGGCCGTACACCAAAACGCACAACGGCCTGGCTCTGACCTCCCCAAAAAATCACCGCTCTCTTCTGGTGCCACCTCCGGCTGCCAGGTCAGCACCACCACCACCAGCTCCGTGCTGCGCCCAGCCCGAGACCCCTCAGCCCTGAGCCCCCCGGGCCCCAGGACCCCCTGACCCTGAACCCCCCTCGGCCCCGAGCCCCCCAAATCCGGAGCCGCGGCTCCCACGGCCGGGGCGCGCCCCTAAAGCCGCAGGCGGGGGAGGCTCCGCACCCCGCTCCGCACCCCGCGGAGCCCGGCTGCCCGGAGCCTTCTCCCTTAAAAAAAAAAAAAAAAAAAATACAGGGGAGGGGCTGCATTTTTATTTTTTTCCCTATAGCCGTTTCCGGTTTGCTGCCATATTCCTATTTTATTTTTTATTTTTTTTTCCTCCCTGTGGGTTGCCCCCCCCCAAACACACCCCGGAGAAGGTGGCGGGGGGGGGGGGGGGGAGGTTGGAAAGCGAAGCGGGGGCGGGAGCGAAGCGGCGGCGCTGCGCGATGCTGCCGGCGGCGCAGCCCTGAGCGCCCGGCCCGGCCCGGCTCGGCTCGGCTCGGCTCGGGGCTGCGGGGGGGGCACCGGGGCTGCCACGGCTCGGGGGGGGGCGGCGGCCGCGCCCCCGGCACGGAGACAAAGCCGCGATCGAGCCCCGGAGGGCGCGCACGGGGGAGGTGAGCGGGGGGCGCACGGTTTTGGAGAGGGGGGGGGGTCCCCATGGGGCACGGGGGGGTCCTCATGGGGTACGGGGGGGTTGGGGAGGAGCCCCCCCGAGCTGCTGGGGGTGTCCCCGCCGTGCGGTGGGGTCGGTCCGGGCGGCGGTGCCCGCGGGCGGCTTGTGGGGTCTGTGGGGTCTGTGGGGTTTGTGGGGTCGGGGGGCGTCCAGCGGAGGATGCGCGGGGTTTTTGGGGTCGGGGTCTGCCGGGGGATGCCGAGGGTCGGGGTTTGGAGCGGTTCTGAGCCCGGCTGGGGGTGCCGAGGGTGCAGCGGGGTCCGGCGGGGCGGCACCGCCTGCCTGCGCTCCCCTTTGTTGTGCTCAGGGGCTGCGGGGGGACCCCCGGGAGCGCAGGGCGGGGAGAGCGGGGCCGAATGTAGGCCAGGACATGAAATATTCATCGCCCCCCCGCTCCTCGCTTTGATGTCTCCCCATCCCTTTCCCTCCTAGGGTTCGCTCGCCGCTGATTTTTGGGGGGCTCGCGTCCAGCCCCGGGGGGGGCCGCGTGGGGCCGGGGCGATGCTGCGGGGAGCAGCCCGGCGGGAGGCTGCGGTGCCCGGGGTGGCCCCACCGAGGGCTTTATCCCTTTATCCACCCGCCGAGTTCCTCCATGGCCACCCAGGCGACACGGTCGCCACGCGTGGCTGGGAGCCATCGCGCTGGCGCGTCCCCACTGTCCCCACCGTCCCCGTCGCAGCAGCACGGGTTCAGCAGAGCCAAAGCTGGGCCAGGCTGGGCTCCTCTGGCCGTATCGGGGTGCCGACCCGGTGTGGTGTGCAGCGTCACCCCAAAGAGCTGCGAAACCCACCGGGGGGTCCGCAGCATCCAACGTGCTCGGTCCCCATCTGCAGCCGGGCAGTGACCTCGGTCCCCTCCCCGCGCTGCCCTAGGGGCTCGGGGTGCCGTTCCCATGGGGTGTTGGTGCGTTGCTGTGGCCACCCCAGAGCTTATAGGGCCACGGGGCTGTCGCGGCTTGTTCCGGACACGACGCGAGGGAAGGGGACATGGTGGGGCCTGCTCGGTGCAGGGGGGTCCCCAGGACAGGTCCCACCGCCCGGTGCCATTTGGGGCCGGGGTGCGGTGCTGGCATCGCGGGGACTGGGACAGCGCGCGCCAGCAGTGCCGTCCACCAGCCGAGCTGCACGAGGGTGGCAACAAAAGGCTTGGTTTATTTATTTTTTTTCCCTCCTCCCAGGCTGGTGCTCCCCGCAGGAGGAGGAGGTGTGCGGCAGGCAGGAAGCTGGAGGGTTTTGTCCCTCCTCTCCGACCTGCTGAGGCGCCCACCGCCAGCGGTGACGAGCGCGCGGGCGTGGGACCGAGCCACGGCCACCTCCCCCGAGGTCTGGCCTTTGGGGCTGGGGGCCGTTTGTCCCGGGGAACCCCATCAGCACCTCAACGCGTGCCTGGGCTCCCGTGCGGCACCAAAATGTCACCGCCAGTCCCCGGGGAGGTGCGATGGGGGACGCACGGGGGGACGTCGCCAACGTTGCAGGGCAGCTCCCAGCACTTCTGCCGATGGGGAGCCCGATCCTGCGCTGCTCCCCGTGCTGCCACCCGTTGTTCTGTGCCACCCTCTGCCAGCTCAGGATCTGGCCCCTGGACAGACCTCGGCTATTTGGTGCCTCGAGGTGAGGCTGCTCCACGGGGAGCCGCGTCTCCAATCATTAGCCAGTCGGTGCTGGCTTCTCACAGGAGGGCTCTGTTTCAGCTCATGGGCTGGCTCCCAGGGCCAGGCTTTGAGCCTTAAGCAGTGGGGCAGGGGCTTGTCCAGGGAGCTTCACCAAGCCCCAGCCCGAGGATTTTGGGGACGGGGTTATTTATGGGGACGGGGTTATCCTTGGGCTGACACGGCGGTGACGGGAAGTCCGCTGTGCCCTGTCTGGGTCTTCAGCGGCCTCACAGAGCGCTGGAGATGCCCTAACGATATCTCTGCCCTTTAATGACTTTGTCCCACGTGAAGGCAGATCACCTCGGTGCTGTGGGGAGGCAGCGAGGGCTGGGAAGGGGAAGGAGCTGTGTGTGGCTCACGGTGACTGAGAGCTGCAGAGGCTCCGCTGCGGGGACAGGAAACTCCGTGGTGGCACGGAGGGGACATTGGTGCTCCCCAGGGCAGGCTGGCCCGGGGCGAGCAGCAGCGTTTCACCGGGCTCGTGGAGGCGAGGAGGGAGCAGAGGGGATGGAGCTGGGGGCTCCTGTGCCCCCCCAGGACCCCTGCCCCTCCTGCACGCCCCAAGCCAGGGCTGTGCCTGACTGGTGAAGCCGCTCACACATGAAATTGGTATTTGGTAGGGGCAGGGAGGACTTGGCCACTCCTTAGAGCCACCAGTGAGTGCGTGTAACGCCTCGACAGGGGAACAGCTGGAGCGAGCCCAGCTGAAGCAACAGCCCCCGCTTCCTCCCGGCGTGTTCAGGGGGGAAGAGCACGAGAGCATCGCTTCCACCAAGCGCTGCCCGCTCGGCCTCGCGGGGGGAAGCGCGCGGGGCTATCTGAGGCACTATTGTTTCCTGCGCTGCCTATTCTGCTGCTCGGCTTCTAACTCGTTCCTTTATCTCCTGGAACAATTTCCCGTCTGACCTCGCTTCCTCAGCACTTTGCCTCTCAGCCCCGAGCCCTCGAAGCCCCGCCGGAGCAGCGCGTGTGTGCCCGGCACGGGCAGGCTCCCCGCGGCACGGTGCTCACCAGCCAGCTCCAAGCTCTTGGCGTGGAAATTGCCCTCCTGGCCGTGCCGGCCGTGTGACTGCAGCGCGGGTTGTCACCCTTTCCATTCTGCCATCCTTCTGTTTTCCACCTCCTCTGACTTGGGGGCACTCGGAGCTGTTCCCCCGGGGCTCGCATTGTGCCGGAGCCTCCGTCCGGGAGCAGAAACCTGCGTGCCTCAGAGGGGGGGAGGAAAAAGCGATAATTCTGCCCCTTGATGTTTTAAACTGGCAGTGAGCCATGAGATAGTCCACCCTGAGGTCCAGTCGGGAGGGCTGGAAAAAGAGGGGGGGTGTTTTTTTGTTTGGCTGAGCACAGCTGGACCCGCGTGGGCTGCGGCGCAGCTCAGGTGCGCCCGGGTCCTGTTGTGGCACGGGCGGCCTCGCTGCGAGGCCCTCGGCGGCGCTTTGCACATGCCTCTGCCGTGCACGGCTCGGAAAAGAAAGCGCCGAAACAGATTTCGGGAACGAATGTGGTTTGAACCTGGGCCAGGAACCAGGACCTGTAAATCTGCGTCTCGCGCTGACTTCCCTCGAGGCTACGGATCTCCTCGCTGCCCTCTGCCTCCCCAGGAGCCGAGCTGGGGAGCGCTTGGGACGCGCCGGGGGCTGCTGGGGCTGCTGCAGGGCACGGGGGGCACCTGTGGAGGCAGCGCCCGAAAACCAGCAAAGGGACCCTTGGGTCTCGGGGAGGATGAGAGCGGTGCACGGAGCAAGGAGGAGAAACCCTGGGGAAGGGGGATCCGGGTGGAGGTTTTGCCTCAGACCCTACAGAAGCCTGCCCCAGCCCCGCGGCTCCAGGCTGCCTTGGTGTTGCGTGGAGATGCGGTGGAGTTTCCGAAATCCCGGTGGTGTAACCCGAGGGTCAGCAGGCTCATCTCGGTGCCTGGCTGCGTGGGAGAGGGCTTTGGGGAGGAAAATGAGGAAGCGCAGCTCTCAGCAGCAGGGCGGTCTCGTGAGCCTGTGCTCTGCGCCCATCCCCTGCCTCTCCCCGGCACCAAACCCCCGCTGTCACCCTGCTGCCATCGCCGGATGGTGACAGCCGTCCTGCCGTGCCTGTCCCCGGGCAGGGGCACAGCAGGGCTGCCCTGCGTGACTCGGGGACACTTGTGTCACTTTCCCTCGGTGCTGCCACAAGGCACCGAAACGCCACGGGGCAGCCGGGCTCAGCTCAGCCTCGCGCCCTCCTCCCCCGCGGGGTCCCCATGGGTGCCCCAGCTCGGGGGCAGGGAGCTGTTGGGAAGGGCAGGGTTTGGGGTGCTGAGGTGGGAGAGGACGGCTCGGGGCAGCCTCGGGTGGGCTGAGCTGGGTGGTGTCCGCTCGGCCGTGCGGGGGGTTTGGCAGCGGGGTCGGTGCCGCGTAGCCGCCGGCACAGCGACGTTGCCCGGCCCCAGCAGCTCCCCGTGCCTGCGGGCTGCCGTGTGTCTGAGCAGCCACATCCTAAAAGTTTCCCCCTCGCAGCCTGCTCGGCAGAAGCTGGGGGCTGCAGGGCTGCCCGAGTTTCGCTGCTCCGCCTCGCTTCCCCAGCCGCCTGCCTCCGTTTCCCCATCCAGACCCATTGCAGCTGGGCAAACGCGACCTTACGCACGCGGCGTGCCGCTGCTTCCCCGCCAGCAGCCCCCCGGGTGGGACTTTTAAGGGTTTCCCTCCCCAGCTCAGCTGGTTTTGTGCTCGGCTTCTCCCTCCCCAGCTCTGTGTCCCCGTGGTTGCAGGCTCGGGCTGCGCCTTCTGGGGTCTGGATGCTCCTGGGGTGGAGCCGTGTGGTGGGGAACTTCCCCAAAATGAAACAAAACAGGGGAAAAAAAAAGCAAACGTAACAGCTTTCGGAGTCACTCCCTGCTCTGCCGTGCCCTTTCCTTTCCCCGGCTGCCTCCAGCGTGAGATAAGGGGAGCCCCAGCAGCCCGGGGGGGCTTGGGAAGCTCTGCGTGGGGCTGGGCCCTGCCACCACGGCGGGACAAGGGACCAGGGGACGAGAGGCCAGGGGACAAGAGGCCAGGGGACAAGAGGCCACGTCCTCATGAGTTGGGGACACTGAGTGGTGGCCGGGCTGCTGCCTGGGGTGAGTGCCTGTGGTGCCGAGGGGGGGCCAGATCGGATGGGAAAGCCCAAATCCCACCAGATCGGGTGGGAAGGACACGTGTGTGACCCCAAAGACCCCGCGGTGAGGATCGGTTTGGTGCTCCCAGCTCACTGCTGGGTCTGAAAGCCCGCGGGGAGGACGGGCTCAGGGTGCCAGGAGCGTGTGCGCACACGTCCGTGCG